AGTGTTTGATGGATACCAGCTCAAGGAAGAGTCCATTAGTTTTATGGGCTCTGTTTTGACTATTACTCATAAGCTTTCAGTAGCCTTCCCTGAGCTATTATCTCTCATTAGCACTGAGAAGCATCAGAACCAGACACACAGCAAATAAAATGCTACTGTGCTACTGTCCAGAAAAACACTTGGCTTATTCATAGGCCTTCTGTTCTGTGCTTTTTCACTTAAGTGATGTGCAAAAATAAGGATGTGGTTCTACTATGTTTACTTCATCCTATCGTTCCACATAATAATTCACAGCTATAGTTTTCAAGTTAGGCAGAAATACAATCACTAAATGTTATTAATGTGGCTGAATGTGAATTTATGCAGCATAATTCTGGAACAGAGATATTTACCACAGCTTTAAACTGTGATATGGTCATGGCCAGGGGTATGTAGGTGTGCAGTGTTGTATGTACATGAGCTGGGGTTCCCAGCACTCGTTGCGTTCAGTCAAGGGTTCTGATGGGCTGTGTCACTTCTGTTGCCTGCTTCTTGAAGGAGGGCAGAACAGGTTGTTACATAAACTGCCTGTGACCTTGAAATTTGTAAAAAAACAGCAAGTATATTCCAATGAAAAAAAAGCCCAAATCCTGCCCTCTCGAGGATACAAGTGAGATAAATGGAAATTTTTAGACTGCAGAGCACTATCCTTCCACTATAAAGGCAAATGCAATTACACAAATTGTTCCAGGAAGAGAAGAATTAATGAAATTTGGTTTAATAAGTATTCAGGTCTGTTGTCCCTTACTGCTGCTCTCCTCTTTCCTCTATAATAACCGAAACTCTCCTTATGGCACTCCTATCAAATGAAAAAGAGCAGGTCTGGAGCTATGTGAGTGTGGAGTGGCCAACCAATATGCACACGCTGATTTATCCTGCTGTCTGCTGCCAAATGGAGTGTGTAACAGCTGTGTTCTGCATGCTTTTCTTTCAGCAGAGGAACTAATTCAACTTTCACTTTTGTAATCACATTGAGACTTCTGCTCCCTTCTCAAATCTGACTGAAATTGGCAAAATAACTTTAAAAAGTATTGAAGAGATTGACAGATGGATGGGTAGACAGCACGATGACATAAACTTTTTCTTAGCAGACTGAGATGGTGTATCTTTTTCAGTAATGCAGTGTTGAGGCTAATAGGGGTTTTTTTTGCAAACAGGGAAGCAAATTGTATTGATGTCACTGTTCAGCATTCCCTTGGGATCATTCAGCTTGTCCCATTCATTGTCTAATGCTTTATTAAAGTGTAAATATATACATTTCAGAAGGTATCCTGCACAGGCTTGGAACTGGAGACAGCTGTGATTTAGTCTGGCCTGATGACATGAATTTCCTTTCTTCTTGAGCTGTCTTGCTTAGAAGTATATGATTTTGTTTGCACGTGTCTGGGAAAGAAGAAAGTCTAGCTATGCCATCCATGAGCAACCTGTACATAACATCCACATTAGCAAGTCTAAGTGCACAAACTGTATTTCCCTTGCTGAATCACAGGGATTACCTTGTTCTTTACATGCCTGTTTTATTCATCAGTTTATTTCTACTGATATCAAACACAGCCCACTTAAAAATTAATGCAAACCTAGAAATGCTTATTAACACAATAGTGACCACATGTGTGAGATCTTCATTAAATTTGTCATCATGGGTTTGGGTTTTTGTTGGTTTTTTTCCTTTTGATGCCTAGGCCTGGAAATACTTTGCTAATTTACTTATTCCTAAAAAGGAGCAGGGGAACTTGTATGTCTGTGATAAACTCTGCACTTGTGTGGCCAGGCAGCTGCTTGATTAACTTTATGGTTATTTCTGGCCTTAAAAAAATCTATAAAGGAGATGATCACAACTTCAGAAAGAAATTAGTCCTGCCCAGTTTTCTTCAGGGAGAGATATCTCAGCATGGAGA